TGGAACGGAGGATTGTGGCAAATGGATGTAGGATTACGAACGTATTGCGAGATCTAACTGCTGGGATGCCACGATGAAATTGGCAAACGCACCATTCTTTTTGGAAGGGACCGCTGGCCAATGGTATGATAACAACGAAGAAGGAAAGGATTCGTGGGATATGTTTAAGGAGATGTTTAGCCGGACATTCGACAATAGCGGCGTCCTTCTCAGACGCGCTAAGGACAACCTTCAGAGTCGAGCTCAGAAGAGTACAGAATCCTGTGAATCCTATATCCAAGACGTTCTGAGCTTGTGTAGGCAGGTGAATCCCGATATGAGTCAAGGAGAGAAAGTGGCACATCTAATGAAAGGTGTGGTAGAAGATGTCTATCAGGTCATCTTGATAAAGGAAATTGATACTGTTGAAGCCTTTGTCGATTGGTGCCGAAAAGTGGAGGCTTGCAAGCAGCGACGCATCGGGAAACCAAGGTTTGAGCGACTCCCTAACGTCGCAAGTATAGAGCAACCAAACTCCTCGTCTCTGGAAGATCTGATTCGACGAATCGTGAGAGAAGAAATTAAAAGTGCCCTACATTTCGAGTCTATAGTGCCGGAGGTGAACTCCCTGAAGAAAATTATTCATGAAGAGGTTGAGAGAAATCTGACCCCAAATGCGGAGCAGGGTCCATACTACCGAGAACAACGCCGCCACTTTGAAGGACCGGCGAAACCAACCCCGTATTACCAGCAGCAAAGTCCTACAAGGCTGACTACTGCCCGAAGAAAGACTGACGAATGGAGGACGGTGGATAATATTCCCGTTTTTTTCCAATGCGGACGCCCGGGTCACGTCGCCAGGTACTGCCGAGAGCGGCGAGGGATGGTGGATCGACAGCCACCGGGGAGATACCACCCTGTCCAGAACGGCCCGCGAACGATCTATAATAGCGATGAAACCCCAGGCCGCGCAAGTTACCGAAGCCCGTCGCCCTATCCAGGTCGTGGCCGATCCCCAGCTGAACGTCGCCCCTCGATATCGCCAAGCCGACGATCTGGCCGATCACCTTATCGTGAGGAAAACTAGAGCAAGCGCCCTTCGCTGGAGGTAAGGTCGCTGAGGAGATTATAAATCCTCCGCCGCTCATAGCCGCTAAGCTATCACAGAATATAGTTGACGTTACTATTGACGATAAAACTTTTCCTGCCCTTGTCGACAGCGGCGCTTCGTTTTCGGTTATTTCGGACCACTTTAGACAACAACACAAAAAGACTATGTTCAGTGACGCTGGCATGACACTTAGAGTTGCCGACGGGAAATATATCGTTTCCAGGGGCCGATGTACTTTACGTTTAGAAATAAACGGATTAGTACAGCCGTTTGAATTCATCGTTTTACCAAGTTGTAGCCACGACATCATTCTCGGTTGGGACTTTCTGGAGGCGTCAAGGGCTATAATCGATTGTGGTAGCGCCGAGATTCTGTTAGAAAAAGCAGAACTACCAGAGGATTCTTCGAGCATATTCCAAACTGTAGCCGCCGACGATAGCTTTATAATCCCCTCTGGATCGACCAAGCAGATAAACGTAATCAGCGAAACTATACTCGGTGTGAGTGATGTCGTAATGGAGCCTTCGAGGATCCTCTTTCTAGAACATGATCTGATGGTTCCCGCCTCGATCTTCGCTGTCCAGCATGGAAAAGGGAGAATTTGGATAACCAACATCGGCACATGTGATCGAACTGTCCCCAAAGGAATGTGTATTGGAGAGATACAGGTACTGGAAGAGGGTCAGCTGGCGGTCATCGGTGATGCTTCGGACACCAATCGTCAGGAGATTCTTGGACAAGAAAACTCTCCAAACATTGCCTCGATGATAAGCCCTGATCTATCCATGCTTGAAAGGACCAGGATATGTTCGATACTTGGGAGTTTCAGCGGCTTATTTGAATTTAATAAGTTTCCGTCTAATCTGACGAGCACAGCCAAGCACAAGATAAATACAGAGGACCATCCCCCGATTAAACGCCGTCCATATCGAGTGTCGCAGGTCGAACGTCAAACCATTCAGAATGAGGTCGACAAAATGTTGAAAGGAGGTATAGTTCAGCTTTCCGAAAGTCCTTGGTCCTCTCCTGTGGTATTAGTGAAAAAGAAAAATGGTAGTTGGCGTTTCTGTGTCGATTACAGACACCTGAATAAAATCACAAAAAAGGATGTATATCCACTACCAAGGATTGACGATACACTCGATTGCTTAAGAGGGGCGAGTTATTATTCTTCCATGGACCTCCGTTCTGGTTACTGGCAGATTGAGGTGGATGAGGCAAATCGCGAGAAGACCGCCTTCATTACACCCGACGGATTGTACGAATTCAAAGTTAAGCCTTTCGGGTTGTGTAACGCCCCAGCGACATTTGAAAGAATGATGGATACCTTGCTGAGGGGGTTGAAGTGGTCAATGTGCCTTTGCTATCTGGACGATATTATTGTGTTTTCACCCACCTTTGACGAACATGTTCGACGCCTTGAATTAGTTCTCAGGTGTCTCTCAAAGGCTGGACTTGTGTTAAATCCAGACAAGTGCTTGTTCGGAACAAAACGACTAAGCATTTTTGGGCATCTGGTGGATGGAGAGGGCGTGCACCCCGACCCGGGTAAAGTTGATGCTATGTCCAAATTCCCTACTCCTAAATCCCTCACTGATGTAAGAAGTTTCATTGGAATGTGCTCATATTATCGTCGTTTCATTAAGAATTTTGCTCAAAAAGCTGAACCACTACACAGGTTGTTGAGAAAGGACACCAGATTCGAATGGGGACCAGATCAACGGCAGGCCTATGAATCCTTGAAGTTGGCACTCGCGTCGGAACCCGTCTCGGCCCACTTTGACGAAAAGTATGCGACCGAACTGCACACCGACGCCAGTGGGTTTGGAATTGGTGCGGTTTTGGTCCAGGTCCAGGGAGGAAGTGAAAAACCGATTGGATATGCATCAAGAACGCTGTCAACAGCTGAAAAAAATTATTCAACAACGGAGCGGGAGTGTCTTGCCGCGATTTGGGCGATCGGCAAGTTCCGTCCATACCTATTTGGGCGCTCGTTTACAATTGTGACGGATCATCACTCACTCTGTTGGCTTTCGGGCCTGAAGGACCCGTCGGGAAGACTGGCCAGGTGGGCCTTAAGACTTCAGGAATACAATGTGAACGTGGTATATAAAACGGCAGGAAACATCAAGATGCCGATTGTCTCTCACGCAATCCAATCGAAGCGAATAACCCAGGGGAATCCGGAGATGACATACCAACATTAGCTGCTTTAACTGATATCGTCGCGGAACAGCGGAAAGATCCGGTAATTGTGAGAATATCGGAGGAATGTTTGAAGAACGATCAAAACCGCTTCAAAATAATCAATGGAGCTCTTTACAAGCGGAATTTCGACCCAGTGGGGCAACCGTGGCTATTGGTGATCCCCAGGCATTTGCGCCCTGACGTCCTCAGAAGTCTCCACGATAATCCAACTGCCGGTCATTTAGGGTTGGCTAAAACCCACGATAGAATTAGGAGGAAGTATTTTTGGCCAGGTCTTCTGAGGAGCATAAGAAAATATGTCGGTCACTGTAGAGAGTGCCAGCGTCGTAAACATGCTCCCTTGCGACCGCCCGGGTTGCTGCAACCGATACCACCCACCTCTGTTCCGTTCCAAAGAGTCGGAATTGATCTCCTCGGAAGATTCCCAATATCCCATTTAGGAAATAAATGGATAATAGTTTGCACAGACCATCTGACGCGATACGCTATCACCCGAGCCTTACCATCAGCAGACGCTCAGCAAGTGGCCAAGTTCGTCCTGGAGGACGTAGTACTTAAACATGGAGCACCACGAGAAATAATTACTGACCGGGGTAGGGTTTTTCAGTCTAAACTAATATCCGAGCTGACGGGACTTTGCTCTTCGGCTCAGAGATTTACCACGGCGTACCATCCTCAGACGAATGGTCTCACTGAGAGACTTAATAAAACCCTGGCCGACATGATGTCAATGTATGTGGACGTCGAACAAAAGGAATGGGACGTTATTCTTCCGTTCATCACGTTTGCTTACAATACGGCGAAGCAGGACACCACCGGATTCACCCCATTCAGCCTCATCCATGGACGAGAAGCTGAAACTACGTTGGATACATTGTTTCCTCTTTTAAAAGATGAAGATCAAGAGGACTATAATCGAGAGATAGTGACCCGAGCAGAGGAGACGCGACAATTGGCTCGGCTACATACACTGAGAGCGCAAGAGGGCAATAAACGACTCTACGACGCCAAACATCGAGAAGTGAGCTATCAGCCAGGCGATAAAGTATGGATATTTATACCCGTTCGGAAAATAGGGATATCCGAAAAATTAATAAAACGATATTTCGGCCCTTATAGGGTGACGAGACGCATTTCGGATGTGACGTACGAAGTCGAAAGTCTAGACACTACTAACCGCCGTCGTAAACCAAAGGAAATTGTGCACGTAGTGAGAAGGAAGAACTACCGTGACCCGGACGAACAACTGGACCTACCCGAGGATGAGCCTGCCGTCTGACAGCGAGGACGCTGTCCTTTTGGAGAGGAGGGCATTGTAGCGTTATTTGTTGTATTGTTTACATAAATAGGTTTTTAACAGTGACCCGTGAGCATCCGCCTCGAGCCGCGCTCCTCACTACTAACAAGATATCGGTGTTTTCTTTTTGGTTTAAAAAATCTGCTCGTTGGAAGCAATAAACGTTCATCGTTCAATTTATCTTCGCCTGTTGTTTGTAATTCTTACCGCGACAATATAGATGTATCGTTTTTTTTTATGTTTATATTTTACTACTCTGTAAACTTACTTCATTTTCTTATCTTTTGTTTATCATTCATAGTTTGTTCTTGCCTTAAATAAATTGTTGTATCATCCTGAAGTTTTTTTTTTTTTTTTGGCTTTCACAGGCCAGGGTTCGATTCCCGGCGTGGGAATATTTTTAAAGCATCGGTGGTTCAGTGGTAAAATGCTCATCTGCCACTCGGGCGGCCCGGGCTTGATTTCCGGCCGATGCACTTTTTTCCGTTTCATGTTTCTGTGGTGTAGTGGTTATCACATCCGCTAAACACGCGGAAGGTCCCAGGTTCGAACCCTGGCAGAAACATTTTTTTTTTTCAGGGCTCAAAAATCATCCATTCTGGTTAGCAGCCCCGTAAATAAATATATTTCCGTTCCATCCTGAAGTTTGTCTTTCCTAATTTTCCATGTGTCACTATGAAATAAGTGGTTATTCTTAAATGAAGACTTAAAAATGAATGATTATATTTGTTAATAGAATCATTAAGTCGTTCTCTCTTTCGAATGGAAGAAGGGGATATCGAGGACTATAACATGTTTTCTATATAGGCGGAAAGACGAGCAATACAACGAGGATATTATCAGAAATGGACGTTCAATTCAACGAATTATCATATAAATTTAGAATTTTTTAATATTAAGTGAAGCATCTAAAAATTTCTGTTTACCAATTACTCCATATTAACTCATATTAAAGTGAAAATCAATATTATTTCGACTCATATAAATCAAATTGTTCAATGGCGATAGATGAAATATTTTCTCCTTTTTAGTAGATTTTACTAAAAGTTTATATGAAATAATTATAAATTGATTATTAATGTATTTTTAGTGTTGAATTCGAAGGTATAAATTTATCATTAGATTTTTGAATTTTGTTAAAATTATTTAACAATAAAAGGTATATATATTTATGGAGAAATATTCTCAAACAATATATATTATTTATATCTCTAGTTGACACTACCGATTTATTTTTATGGAAGGCCAGCCGTTTAATACGCCACAAATGGTTACGCCTATTTTATCCCCTTTAATATCAATTTACACGAATCTTATTCTAGTCCAGACTATTGCGGCCAGCTTGAAGTCTGATATTTTGTATATTTTCGTTGTTAGCTTGATAGAATGAGTATACAGAATTTTATACTTCTATCTTTACTATAAGTATATTAAAAACTATCACAAAATATTTGAAAAGAGAGAAATATAATTTGTTTGAAAGGTAATTCTCTTCTCTCGTCTTTTCCCGATCCATGCGACCACCTAGAAGTCTGAAGTTTTGTAAACTTTCAATGTTGATTGGATTGAACTATTCTATTGAATATACCAGACTTCAACGTGGTCAGAAATTATATAAAAATTGGGGGGGAAATTTTGAAAAGAAATATAGAAAAAACAGTGCATTACCGACCACACAAAAGTCTGAAATTTGTCAACTTGCATTGTTAGCTGTATTGAGAGAGTCTTCAAATTTTCATACTTCTATGTGTGGTCTGAAAGTATATTATAATCGAACAAAAAATTTTAATTAACTATAGAAATTAAAACTAGTCCATTACCGAATACACAATAGTCTGATATTTTGTAAAATTGAAGTGTCCTCAGGTTTGAGCAAGTTTACCAAATTTCAGGCTTCAAGGTGCTCTGTAAGCATTTAAAAATCGATTACAATATTAAAAGAAAAAAATTTAAATTATACAATTCCCTACCACCCCGAACATTCAGAAATCTGAAACTTTGTCAACTTGCATTGTCATTAGGTTTAAAAAAGTGTATCAAATTTCAGACTTCTAGGTTTTCTTTTTCGCCTATATAGGAAAATAGACAGGAACTACATGGGATTTTATAACCCATACCAATTATTTTTTTTGCTTTCAGGTTGGAGATGGCCATGTGACGCGCAATAGGGGAGTTGAGCTCTTAGCTGAATGCTGGTTTGATAATGGATCAGTATGTCATTCTTTTGAAAGATTCTACTGATAGTGTGGCTGTAAACAGAACTGTTTCAGGATTAAATTGGATGCTATATTGTAGCTTTTGACTTTTTGGACTTTTTCTTAATGAAATCGCTAATATATTTATTATCAAGTAAACAATATATAGCATATACAGTATGTTCAGTATAGAATTATTCAATACTATATATATGATGAATTTTCATAACTAGTGAACGGAATGAGAAAATTATTTGGAAAAGTTTGACTTTTAATGATGAATATTTCCAGCGATTCACCAATTCAATTGACCACAGATCGTTGCAACAATTCTTTGTTGATTCTTTTTTTTTCATATTCAGTTCACTGATTGTAAAAGCTGTCCTATAATATAATTGAAATATAGCTCTGATTAATTAATTAACTAATCAATTATTTATATTATTATTTGAGATAATTAGAATTTGGACAAATTGGAATATTTACCCTTTCTATCTTGTCGTGCAATAGGTATGAAGTATTGTTGTAAACATTCTAACTAGGGTTTATATATAATGTATAGGGTTGTGAAAGACTATCAATATTAAGAAAGTTGTTCCTTTTGCATAGAGTTTCGGTATAAGTAACCAGAGATATTATTTATTTCTATTTATCTGTAAAAGTTGGAGGCGAAGTCAAATTATTTTTTATTCCCCGACATCATACTTAGCGCATGCCGCTGAACAAATCAACAACAACAACAACAAAACAGCTTTATTAGGGCATCTTGCCCTGTACGGATTCTCCGTGGAGTTACAGATAATATTAACCATAAGAGAACAGGTGAAAATATAGTATTTACAGTCAAGGTATGTCAAACAGGGTGACTTTTTATTGTGCCCCTGTTCTTCTCTCTTCCATGAGTGCAATTTTATTCCCAACCGCTTTTTGAAAGTTGAACAGTTCAATTGCCCAACTTTTCTTATCTGAAACAGTTTTTATTAGCTTTATTGAGTTCAAATGCGGTCTAGGAAGACTTTTCAGGATCTTTTTTCTCTCTCCTTCCAGATCCCCGCATTCAGCAATAAAATGGTATATTTCATCAGTTATCTGACTTCCACATAACCCACAGTACAAATCTTCTTTCTTAATTGCGTAAATATGATTTTCTTTGATCATTGTTGACATTAATCTGATCTGTGCAATAAAACTCACTAAAGCTGAAGACAGATTGCATGAAAAGTAATTTTCTGGATTAAATGAATCATAAAGTAACCTATAGTTTGAGTATGTTTTCGTAAGAGATAATTTTGCCAGATCTTGCTGCAATAGCTGTTCAATTTTTATTTTTAGTATATTCGGAAGTTCGATCTGTATGTCATCATAATTTAACCTATAGTTTAGCCATGTGAGTCCACAATGATTGATGATATCCATAATATTCTTACAGAATCCTATAGGTTTTTTTGTCATTAAGGAAATTTCCTTCAATCTATTCCAGCATAGCTTAGGTAGTCTATTGTCTTCCATTTTTTGTAATCTAATGAAATATTTCAAAATTAATTTGATCGTTGTAAAAGTCAAAGATATTCTGCCTGTTTCCAGCCTTACAATGTACCCTGGTATATATCTTGGTAGATTCAGAAAATTTTTGATAAACGTATTCTGTAATTGGTCTATAATATCCGTATTGTCCCAAACCCACACAGGGGCCGCATAGAGCAGTATTGATTTAATAACTGAGTCAAATAGATTCAGAGCAACTTTTAATGAGTTAATTTTTTCTTTTTTTATCAGTCTAATAGTTGCATTTATTGCCGTATTTGCTTTGGCTTTATAAAAGAGGGCTACCTTTTTACTATTAATAGTGGAAGTGAATGGATATCCCAGATATGTAATATTGGACGCAACAGTCAGTGGGGTGTCACCCCAGTACCAGTTTTCGTGTCTTGCCGGTCTTCCTCCATTTCTGAATACTATTATTTTGGACTTATTTTCATTTAAAACTAATTTGTTCTTATCCAGGTAAGACTTTAGTAAATTGATTTTAATTTGAAGATTAATTATCGATTCTCCAATTATGGCTATGTCATCCGCATACATAAGTAGGTGTAAAACGCCAAAATCAGGGAGATGAAATCCTGTAAGTGCTGAGTTATTATAAAGTTCTATTAGGTCGGCCATATATAGTATAAATAAAAGTGGGGAAAGTGATTCTCCCTGCAACACTCCAGAATTAATTTTCACATTATTTGAATATTGTCCTTTCCATCGGATAGTGATCTTAGCTTCTTGGTAAAAGTTTTTTATCAGTTTGTTATAACCGTTTGAACATCCAATTGTTTAAATAATTTTATCTCTAATAGAAACAGAAGCAAAATTATATGCTATAACATCCTAGTCAAAAAAAGAAATATTCTTCTCTAATATACAGTAGAACCAACACCTGGCGTTAGAGGACACCTCTCTATAAAGGACAGTTTTCATTTCCAAAATTACCATTTTATTATTTAACAACTCTCTGGTAAGAGGACACCTCTCCCTAAAGGACACTTTGGCTCTGCAATTAGATGCCCTTTACAGGGAGGTTTTACTGTATATGAATATATATATATATATTAAGAAAAAGGCATCTCCTTATCGTGCAACTGAAAGTTGCTGATGGCTGGCGCCATCTATCGGAATAAATATCAACTATTCTCGTTGATTTTTAATTATTCCAGAATTGGCCAAATACCCATTCTTGATTAATCAAGAAAAAGCTAACCACGGACGCGTTTCGGGCTGTTGGCCCTCATCAGCGTGGTGCAAGCTGTACCTCAACGACCAAAAAATTGGTCATTAAGGCATCCTGAAAAATCATATATATATATATATATGATAAGATCCTGTCGACTTTCAATGTGGCAAAATAATAATAATGTGGGGAAAGAGAAATAATCACATCACAATTTGGTAGAGGAATCCCAGACAACCAGAGAGAGATAGACGGACCGGCCACCGCTGAGCGGCCGGGCGTTCGTATCGCACACAATTCCTCAACTGTCTTATTTTGTCCTCAGGTTCCAAGTACGGGCCCCTTTGAATGTCGCTGATATCTCAAGTGACCGATCCTCACCCGCCCTCCCTCTCTGGGTTGACTGTAGGTTTTCTTTATTATTCCTGGAAGAGCATATACACTGCGGGACAGTGAAAATGGAACACCAGGAAATAGTGGCCAGAAAATTATACAAATTACAGGGTAGACGCGCCAAACCGAGTTATGCAAGTGATGTAAAATGCGCAGCTCTCGTGCGCACATG